CGATACGATACGTTTTTCGATACAGTGCACTTTCTATCCAATATGATTCAATACGATATATTTCAAAACAAATCGATACGATTCAGTGAAAAACAAAGCCTAAATCACAGCTGTGATACTAAAAGTCTTAATTAATCGACTAAGTTTGTGCAGAAGTTCATATGAAAACCGACAATTTTACTCGAAACACTGACAATTGTAGCTCTTACACAAACTAATTTAGTAAAATATACCTAAAAATACTCTTGGTGATATATTTTTGCACACCCCTACTGCACATAAAGGGAAAATGGGTGACGTGTCTTGCCCAAGGACACAACAGTCACATGCAATCCCTGTGTTTGTGTGTTTAACGCCGTCCTCCTTATCCGTTTCGTTTTAATCCCGTTCTATACATTTCCAAGCGACCGTGGCTCTTTTTAAACAGCTTACGCTCCGAAATAGAAAACCAATCTGCCTTTTTTTATTTTCCCCACCGCAAATCATTTCTGCGGTTTCAAAACGCCCCGAGCGAGTGTGAGGAACAAAGAGGAGATGTGTTTAAGCCGTTAGCATTCGCCGCGCGCCGAAACTCTTCCAACATGTGTACAGCGGCGAGCTCCACGCGCACTTCAGCCGCCTTCAGGACCTGGTTTCCGCCGTCTTTAAGGTGCACTGTGTAACTTTTTAGGGTGGAGGGTCAGTCCAAATGCTTTTCTCCATGGAGATGTTATCGTTTTGTCTGGAATGTTTCACAGTATGGCATTAAATCTTTAAATCTATCTTCAGAATGTTCGTCAGAATGTCTGTTTTTCTTGTTTTTCGAGGTATTTTCGAGCTATAAAACCACATGTAATTGAATAAAGGTAAAGTAGAGATGTTTAATGTCATATCCACGTCTCCATGGAAACAAGCAAGTGAAGGCCCACTGACCAAAAAGTCGCATAATGCAGCTTTAAAAATGTCAAAAACAGAACTTTACTGAGACCAGATTCGTGGAGAAAAACAGTCAGAATGTCTGTTTTTCTAGGTATTTTCGAGCTATAAAACCACCTGTAATTGAATAAAGGTAAAGTAGAGATGTTTAATGTCATATCCACGTCTCCATGGAAACAAGCAAGTGACGGCCCACTGACCAAAAAGTCGCATAATGCAGCTTTAAAAATGTCAAAAACAGAACTTTACTGAGACCAGATTCGTGGAGAAAAACAGTCAGAATGTCTGTTTTTCTAGGTATTTTCGAGCTATAAAACCACCTGTAATTGAATAAATGTAAAGTAGAGCTGTTTAATGTCATATCCACGTCTCCATGGAAACAAGCAAGTGACGGCCCACTGACCAAAAAGTCGCATAATGCAGCTTTAAAAATGTCAAAAACAGAACTTTCCGTTTTCAGAGGTCCAAAGTCATTCCTCACTTACCTTAAGCATTCAGATCATCTTAATTGTTATTGTTTAATGTTTTGTTTTGTTTTTTTGCCGTCGTTTAGGTGCATTGTGTAACTTTTCTTGCTTTTCTCCATGGAGATGTTGTTGCTTTTTCTGGAATGTTTCACAGTATGGCATTAAACTTTTCATTTCTATCTTCATGGAAACCAGATTCGTGGAGAAAAACACTCAGAACGCCTGTTTTTTTTAGGTATTTTTGAGCTCTAAAACCACCAACCTGGATAAATGTAAAGTAAAACTGTTTAATTTCATATCCACATCTCCATGGGAACAAACAACTACCAAAAAGTCCCATAGTGCAGCTTTAAAAATGTGAAAAACAGAACTTTGCTTTTGCTTTTGGTTGCAGTGTTCCAAAGCCATTCCTCACTTATCTTACGCATTCAGACCATCCTAATTATTATTATTATATGTTTTTTTGACGTCTTTAAGGTGCATTGTGTAACTTTTTTTGCTTTTCTCCATGGCAATGTTAGCGCTTTGTCTGGAATGTTTCACAGTATGGCATTAAACTTTTCATTTCTATCTTTATGAAAACCAAATCCGTGGAGAAAAACACTCAGAAAACCTGTTTTTGTAGGTATTTTTGATCTATAATGTAAGGTGGAGCTGTTTAATGTCATATCCACATCTCCACGGAAACAAGCAACAAGCAAAAAGTCCCATAGTGCAGCTTTAAAAATGTGAAAAACAGAACTTTGCTTTTGCTTTTGTTTGCCGTGGTCCAAAGCTTCTTCCTCACTTATGTTACGTATTCAGAGCATCTTAATTATTATTATTAAGTGCTTTTTTCCAGTCACCAAAAGCAGAGTTTTGCCATCACGGTAAAATTAACAGCAGCTAGAATGCTAACCGAGCACTTCCTGATTCAAAAGCTGCTTTTACAGTAAATCTGCACTGGGGCAAAACTCATTTTACATGACGTCTAAACCGTAGACCGTAGATGCGAGTGAACGCAGCTTACGCTCCAAACAGGACGTGCTCCAGGCGGCTCTTCCGGCTCCTTCTGACTCTGGCTCCCATTGACTTGCGCTGGGATTTTGCGGCTCCTCCCTCTGTACCTGCTGCTCCGAGCCTCGTCATTTTCATCTTAAAAAGTTCGATTTAACGGGACGGTCCGGAATTTTGGACGTAGGGCCTCATTTCCTAGTGAGCCAGAGTGTTGGAGACGTGTGGAGACGCTTTTTAAAATATTCCATCCAGTCAATTTCCATAGTTATCCTGCCAATAAAAACATTCTTACCCACTCCACGAAACACCCGACGCAAATCTATTATTACACCAAACTGTCCATGTGAATGTCTGGGTCGATAGAATCATTTTAGAAGTAAAACCAACCTTGCATTTGAAGGATTTATGTCTGAGCAGCAGCAGCAGCGAGTTGTACTTCCTGATAAAAAGCTCGGCAGCAGCTGACTGATGTCACAAAGTTTTACCAGCAAAGTAAAATTCCGCTGCTGCTGAGAAAATGGTCCCTCGCAACATGCGACGATTCATGCGACGCAAGAAACGCTGCGGTCGACGTCACACTCGCTTAGTCCACTTTTTTTATAAAGTCTTTTGTCTAAACCCCTTCTTCTAGTTTCATGTCTGTTTCAAGACACATGCCCAACCTGCAGGCCTGATTATTACCTCCGCCAAGGAGGTTATGTTTTTGCTGGCATTTGTCTGTTTGTTTGTCTGTTTGTTTGTTTGTCTGTTTGCAACATAACTCAAAAAGTTATGGCCCGATTTTGATGAAATTTTCAGGATTTGTTGGAAATGTGAAAAGGAAGAACTGATTTCATTTTGGGGCTGATCCGGAAGAAATCCTGGATTCTGGATCACTTTGAAATTTTAGTTAACATTGTGGTAAATGGGGCCAAAAATTTAGTTTCTCAATATCTCGGTTAATTATTGACCAAACCCCATGAAATTTGACTCAGGGATGGACAATGGGATCCTCTTTCATATTCCAAAGGCTGATCCGGATCTGATCCAGAAGACTGATTTTATCGCAATTTAGATAAAAAATGGGGGTAGTCCTTGGCGGAGGTCTTGCGCTCTCTGACTGCTTTTCTAGTTTCTTGATAGGATTGTCAAAAAGTAGAATTTTTTAGAATAATCTTGAGCTCCTAGACTCGTAAACGCCCATGGACCACTGAGGGATCACACTGATATAAGGCCTCATGGGAATATTGAAGAAAGTACTACCATTCAAGGCTGAAAATCACATTCTAAGTAGTGTTTTTATTGTCATTTTTGTATCAGAATTGGTATTGAGCATCCAGTTTATTGAGCACTTTGTTGATTTATCTTTCACCAGATTGTTTTGTTGCGAGAGTCAGAGTCGGACACACGTCAGAGCCAGAGCCGCACACAAACCGGGAGCTTTTATTGCAGTTGTGTTTTTTTTTTTTTTTTCTTGTGGCCAAACCGTGAAAACAAACCAACAGTGTCTGAACGGGCCGGAGCTCCCAAAACAAACCCGGAGATGACAGGAGACGTTCTGCTGTTTGTGAGGGAACGTTTTCCTGTGTGAGAAAAGTCTACTCCTCGGCTCTCTGCACAAGCTCAAGAAATTTTTTTTAAAAGGAAGCACATGTAAGATTTTCATTATAAAGAAGACTTACTGTGCTTGTATGTGTGCTATAGTTATCATCTGTGACACTGGATCATTATGGGGTAATTTACACAATTTAAAGGTTGTATGGAGGATTTTTTTTGTTTCAAATTGTCAGTGATAGATTATAGATGCAGTAGCCTTGTAATTATGATGACCAAAAAAAAGACAATAAAAATTCATCAACTCTGGACGTGGTGGGGCTAAACATTTGCCAATAGATAACGACACTGCCTCGTTATCTGTGAGCTGACAGGCTGTCAATCAAACTCCCTACGTTTCTAGTGTAACTGACTTGCCTGCGCCGCCGTTACGTGGTTTACGTACGACTGTCACACAGTCCACAGACGCAAGACGCACAGACGCTGTTTACTCCACCAACGCAACAGTTCTTAGCGGCTTTTTTTGACCTATATCTTCCTCGCAGTTCGCACAAAGTTTGTTGCAATGGCGACAAGAATCCAGGAGCAGTTCGCCGCAAAAGAAAGTCCGTTTTTGAGGTCGCTGAAAGAAGAAGACAAGGGGAAAAGCAGCGAAGCCAAACTAAGGTGATTCTTGAAGATTCATTCCAGCGATGGCGCGACTGAAGCAGACGCAGGGTCTAAAGACTGACGCACTGGTCCACAAATTACTCCTGGACAGGAAACTTCTGCTTATTATGAAAACGTACTTTATTTCCAAGAGCTGGACAAACGTTTTTCAGGACACGAAAGCGATATCCTATGTCTGAAAACATAATTTAATCCGCTTGCCGCTGCGTGTTGTAGTAGTAGCTTCATTCGCACGGAATCTCCACGCACTCTTCTCTGCACCCCTTAATGCTCCTCTCTCCGCTCCCCGCTCCGCTCTTCTCCCTGCTCCTCACTTCTTTTCTGCGCACGAAATCTCCGCGCACCCCCTCCCCCCGATCCTCACTTCTCCGCCTTGCCTAACCAACACTGTAGTTAGTTGTTTACAAGTCATGTGCAGCGATGAGGACTTTCTGTCGTAAGGAGGAGGAGGGAGGAGGCGTTTCTACGTAGGGAGCTGTGGGGGACATTTGAAAAAGGACAAACAGTCGCTGGATTTCTCGTTCCTTGGAAAATCCTCTATACAACCTTTAAATCACAATATTCATCTAAAATAACTTAATAACAGAAACAAAACGTCATCACAACAAAGCTCTACCTATGGATAGCCACACATTAGAGAGCAGTGGATTTTTATTTTTTTTTCCTTTGTACCAAAATGAATCCTACACGTATCATGATTAAGAAAATAAAACTGGAGAACAAAGTAAGTACCATCATTTTCAGACTATAAGCCGCTACTTTTTTCTCTCACTTTGAACCCTGCGACGAATAAAACGATGCGGCAAATATATGGATGGATTCATAAGCCAGTTTCACTTCATAGAAACCGTCTGACCTCACAGTGTTAGAATTTATTTGGAAGGTACTTTTTTTTATTTAACCAATCGCTGCTGTTTGGTCGTGATGTATGTAACGCGCCGCTAACGGGGCTAACTGGTACATTGAGCTTTTCCCAAATCCTGTAGGAAGAAGGACAATAACGTTTTTCCCCTTGAAAGCAGGTGTGGGCCCCTCTGTCCTGAAGGCCTTTTACAGGTGTGCGGTGGAGAACATCCTCACCTCCAACATGACTGTGTGGTTCAGCAGCAGCACCAACGCTGAGAGGAAAGATCTGCAGAGGATAGTTAGAGCTGCGGAGCGCGTCTGCGGCTGTAGTCTGCCCTGCATTGAAGATATTTACATCAGCAGGTGCAGGACAAAAGCCCACAGCATCACGGAAGACTCCACCCGTCCAGCACATGGACTTTTTACAGTTCTCCCATCAGACAGAAGATTGCGCCACCTACAGGCCAGGACCACGAGACTACGGAACAGTTTTTATCCTGATGCTGTGTCAGAAAAAACACTACAAAACAGCACTGACTTGGAACGCACTTTAGAAAATGGGGGCGGGTTGACACACAATAATTTAAACTATTTAATCTTGTTATAACTATTTGTTCTTATTGTTATCTGTGCTGCTGTTGACCTGGACCTGAGAGCATTGTTTCGTTTCTGTGTATTTTTTATACTGAAATGACAAATAAATTTGATTCTGATTCTGATTCTGATAAAATTCACCAAACATTCTCTTTGTTCCAGCTTTAAATCCTCGATCTTGGGAATCATTTCCAACACAAATTTCTCTTTGCTGATTGGCTGGTGCCCGAACTTGCACTTCCAGGGTTTTTGTGAAAAGGCTAGTGTGTTGCGACTTGTTCGCTGGAGAGAAATTAAACTGAGCGGAGGCACTAGGTGGTGTCAGCCTGGCTTCCTCCCCCAAGCCAGTTAACACAAAATATGGGTTTTAACCATTACAACAAAAATAGCAAAAAATACAGAAACATACATTGTACCACATGTCCGTGTCTCTGCATCTGTAGCAGAACCAGAGAAAATAATATGAATATTTTATTGTAGGCAGTGATTTTGACCAAGAGTTTTGAAACTGTCAGGGATGAAAACAAACTCTTGGTCTGAAAAAAGAACCTGAAAACATAAATGATCGGAAGACCAAATGAACCTCATTGGACTATAAACCACTAGTTGTCATGGCATATAAAAGCGCACTTTCAGTCCTTAAACACAGTATCGTGCTGGCATTGGGATCACTTCTGAATCTTTCCCTTAGCGCCGACGAGTGAAGTTCAAATATGTATTTTGTTCCGTCCTCCCCTGGTGCCTGGTGATGTATGAAAATCTATACGCTCGTGTGGCTGTAGGCGGTTTCCTCTGGATCTGATCGCAGCTCGCAGGTACCATCTGCCTCCGCACGATCACGCACACACACAGCGGGAGCGGCCCTGTCAGAGGACGGCATGAATATTACATACGAACAGTTCAGACGCACGGCAGCGGACTGTGAGGACTGTGACCACCGTGCACGGCTGCAGAATCTAAAGAGGGAATTAGCTGTAATGAGAATCAAACGGCGGCGTATGAAGTTATGTCCACTGAATAAAATATATCTGTAGAACATGTTCTCTTTGCCGATACAGACGGTTAGAAGATTCTAAGTCTGTGTTTATATGACGACGGTCTGAACAGAAGATGCAAAAGTGGCGTCGTGTTTATTCTGTGTTTAAACGTTTTCAGGAGGAAATCTGCGTGCATATGGTGATGCAAAAATGTGTGAAATTCGATTGCGTGTGCATGCCAGGTTTCTGTGTGCTGTATGTATGTGACGTAAACGTGTACACGACCTGAGCAGATCTGACCAGAGTTTTGCATCTTGGGCAGCGTAGACGGAAACACTACGGCGGAGCGTATTCAACTTTTCTACTCTGGAGTGTGGGTTCAGATTTTTGCGTTTTTAAGCCCCAAAAACGCCGTCACCGTCTAAACGAAAGGCAAAAATATTTAGTCGTTTTTACCCGCAAGTGTAAACAGGCCCTAAAAACGTGAGGGGTTTTACTAGCCGGGCTGGTGCCACCTAGTGCCTCTGCTCAAATTAATTTCTCTCCAGCGACTAAGTCAGGAATCAAAATACACAAGACCAGGGGTGTCAAACTCATTTTGTTCCGGGGGTCGTATCCAACCGACTTTGATCCCAAAGGGGCCGGATCAGAAAACTTATGTCATATAAACCCCAAAATAACAATAAGTTCAAATACTTGTGCAGAGAAACACAAATCTATTACAGAAATCTTTTTTAATTGATGAACTCTTTCTTTTACAAAATATTATAATATTATGAACAACATGAAACTTTAAGAAAAATACAATTTCAACACAAAGTTTTAACATTAACTTGGATGTAAATAAGAATAAGGCTATTTTTGTTGTAAAATCCTGCACTCGGCTCCACTTTTCTCATGTTGGACATTTTTCTGATGAGGATGTCACGGTCAACAGTCAAAACGATCGTCCTTTAAGAGCGTTTGGAAAGAGACAAGTCTTCATTTGTGCTGCTCTGGTGGGAGGGGCCACGTACAGAGACGCTGGAGACGCTGCTGTGATAAACACCACAGAAAATTAACAAGATTTAATAGAAAATATAATTACAATATTTTAGTAGAAAATCAACCGAGGGCCAGATTAAAGGACTTGGAGGGCGGAATCTGGCTCCCGGGCCGTATGTTTGACACCCCTGCACTAGACACTTCGCAAAAACCCCAGAAGTGCGAGTTCGGGCAGCAGCCAATCAGCAAAGAGCCAAACATTCTGTGTTGGTAACGATTCCCGAGATCGAGGATTTAAAGCCGGAACAAAGAGAATGTCTGGTGAATTTTATCAAGTGGAAAGACGTTAATGTCCTTTTCCCTACGGGATTTGGGAAAAGGTTAATATATATAAATAAAAAAAGTACCCGCCTACTGTCGAGCGAACGAATCCTAACGCTGCGAGGTCAGACGGTTTATACGAAGTGAAACCGGTTGATCAATCAGGCTAGGGTCCTCGTGCATTCATGGAGAAATCGGTTTAGTTTACATTAGACTGCTTGGCTGAAACAGGGTAGAAGGGATCCACGTGTGATCGGATTACTATTCTGTTTCAAAACCTCAAAAGGTACAGAGGATTTCCCTGTAAACGTCGCACTGACAGCGCCCTCCGGAGGCCTCACTTTCACAGAGCCGTGTTGCGAATACCCGCGCCGCTCGCTCTAACGTCAGCGCTCGTCTTCAGTCTTTCCTCAACAGCAAAAAGCAACAGAATCTGAATGAATAATTGAGCGTCGAGGTCCAGAGGCTCGCAGCAGCTGGCGCCACAAAAAACACGGATTCAGATGCATTAAACATGGAGCATCAAATCAACACCGGGAGAGTCGAATCGTTTGTACACACTCTGATAACACCAGACAGGAGCTTACGCGCTTTAACGGCTGGAGGAATAACTCACGTGGACGCTTTCATGTCAAACTAACTAAATCACTAAACTATTTTTCCGTAAAACAAAAAAAAAAAACTCAAACCACCGCAGATAAATTGGCTCTGGACATTTATAGTTTTCATTTTATATATTTAAGAAACATTTGTGTAAATATTGTAAAAGCAGCTCTGATGGTGAAATCACGGCTTGTATTGTCCGGGAATCAGGAGGTGCACTGTTAGCATGTAGTAGTACTCAGTTACATGTGCTTGAGTAAATTGTTAAAGATGTTTTTTAGTTCACATGAGCTCCTACATGAGTAATATTTTCATCAAAGTAACAGTACTTTTACTTTACAAATATGTTGTGCAGCTTTATGTTGACAATATGAAATTATTGGAACATTTTTGACGGTTACTCTTCAAGTTTCTCTCACGTGAGAAGTAGTTTTGAGTCATTTCTTGGATCAGTAGTGTGTATTTTTACTGAAGCAATATTATTTTTGAAGTAACATTAGTTCTAAAAAAAAAAAAAAAAAAAACACTCTGCAAATCTGATTTCCTCTACCATCCTCTTTTATTTCTATGCCTCCGCTCAATTTCATTTCTCTCCAACGACCAGGTCAGGAGTCAGAACACACTAAACAGTTTGCAAGAATCCCGGAAGGCCAATCAGGGAAGAGCAGTGAAGCCATAACGTCAAACTCGTCGCGTCCGTCTGTGTCCCTTTTGTGGAACAGCACAACGGTAGATGAAGACAGACATTCTGTGTTGTCAACGATTGCCGAGATCGAGGATTTAAAGCCGGAACAAAGAGAATGTTTGGTGAATTTTATCAAGTCAAGTCGTTATTGTTCTTCTTCCTACGGGATTTGGTGCTTTACATACGTCACGACCAAATAACAGCGATTGGTTAAATAAAAAAAGTACCCGCCTACTGTCGAGTGAACGAATCCTAATGCTGCGAGGTCGACTTTTTATTTTCTTTTAGCACATGAAACATCTCATGTTAAGATTTCCTACTCTTTGCTTCTCTACAGTAAAACAAAAGTCTGTACATGGACAATTTGAAGCACAAGAACATTTTAATTAATTAATTACTCAATCATTGCATTTATATAGCGCCTTTCAAGATACCCAAAGCACTTTACAGTTCACTATTCATTCACTCAACACTCAGTGATGGTAAACTACTACTGTAGCCATAGCTGCCTTGGGGCAGACTGACGGAAGCGAGGTTGCCAATCTGCATCATCGGTCCCTCCGACCACCACCATCACTCACACACACAAACCACTTTCATACTAGGCAATTTGGGTGAAGTGTCTTGCCTAAGGACACAATGACAGTTTTTGCGACCGCTACCCCACTGTGGCACCTGGGCTTCTCAGTGTCTCCCATCCAAGTCCTACCCAGGCCCAACCTGCTGAGATCTGACGGGATCAGGCTTTGACGAGCCGGTGTGGCCACTAACAAACATGAATTTTCAGGATGTGGTTGGTACATTCATGTAGTTTTAAAAAGCATGACAATATTAAGTAATCCAAAGTATTCAGATTACATTACTCACTTTAAGTAATTTAATGGATTACGTTACAAACTACATTTTGGGGTATGTAATCTGTAATCTGTAGGGGATTACATTTTAAAAGTCACCTTCCCAACACTGTTTGCGAACGACCATAAAGCAAAAAAAAAAATCCACGTTGGAAGTTCCTCAGATCATGACTGACATGAGAATTGACAATGTTACTCGCTCTTTTCACTATTTTATTTACACCAAATGTACAAACTTGGGTGTGTCACAGTTTAGATGAGAATTTTCCAAATCTGGTCACTCTACAATAATCATAAAAACAATGAGGATGCTCAGACTGCATACGGTAAACGAGGCACAACTATGGATCACCTGTTCTGTTTTTCAGACTTTCAAGACAATAAAAATCACGTACAGTTAATTAATTTAAAGCCTTTAGTTGTTCCGCTCTGTAGAAAAGCTGTTTTCATGAACCCGTGACATGTTCTTGTTGTTAAAACTTATATTTTTCTTCGACTACAGCGGCTGTTATGTGGGATCAACACCGCCGACCTCTGCGTAATTAGCGCCTTCCTCTGATTGCTTATTGAAGCCAAACAAACAAACCTGCTTTTTGCCGACGCTCCTCCGTAACCGCGTGCGACGGCGCCAATTAACCGCCAGCGCCGACGTTTGCCTCGCTTTCCCGAGTCATTAACGGCGTTAGTTTTGTCGGTTGTAGGTTGTGACACGAGGCGGCGTTTGTGTTGGTGTTGGCGTTCTCGTGCAGGTTTACGGCGCGCTCCCAAGCACATTACATCTGAAATTCAATCGATTGGACAAAACCCCGGGGCTGTGTAACGGACGGGAGCAGAGAGAGAGCCAATCAGGAGAGAGAAGGAGAGGAAAAGAGGACAGGACAGGGGTCTGCAACCTTTTTCTTCAGCTGGGATACGGTTTTTTTCCTACTGATACGTCGCAGCCGGTGATTTCATTGACATTCCTCCGGCGTGCGGTGCAAACTCGAGGCTCTGCTCTGTCTGAAGCTTTATTAGACTTTAATCGGAGCTTTACTTGAACACAATCTGATCAGAAAGAACCGACCTGGTGAGCTGATTTGGGCTGTTCAAGGTAAGAAAAACGAAAACGTAAAGGCGAACAACGAGCGAAACAAACATTATGGTCATGAATAAAACACAAGTAATTCATTAATAAGTGACTTGTGAACTCAGACTGATTCTACAGTTAAAATAAAAAATCTATTTCATGATTTTGGCATAGACAGAGATTTGTGCAGTTTAAATGCTACAGATGTTCACAAATCCACGTATCAGTCGTTCACTGTTTTTTAAATATAAAACCAAAAATAAGAAAACGAAAAAAAAACAGTTTTCTTTAATATTTGTCTCCAAAACCAAAATGAAAAAACAGATCATGATTCGTTTTTTCAGTTTTCGATTTTGTGTTTAAATGAAGAATGGA